ACAGTCCCGAGCGGAGGGGTCCGAGGCACAGAGAAAAGTGCGAGCTCGCGGTTTTGAGCCGTCGCGCCGGCGCGGACAGCTCGGCCGTCGCCCGGAGCCCCGAGCGGCGGCGTCTCGCTGAGAGAGGGCGTCCGGAGGGCTCCGCGGAGAGGGAGGGCGAGCGGCGGCCCGTGCGTCTCTGGCCGCTATCGTCTCGAGTTGAGGGTTGCAATAATTACCCCGCTGCTCGCTGAGGGGCCGAACGGAGGCCTCTCGTGCGTCCTCAGGCTTGAGCTAATATTACTTACCTCTATATCCATAAGATGGCTCCCAAACTGCTGTCTTGTTGAGCCAATTGTCCCAGAGGGGAGATGTCTCTGTGTTGTTTTTTGTCGTCACAAGCGTGCTTCTCGGGAAACCGTGGAAATCCGGTTGGCTTTCTCTGACGCTACATATGAGTTCATTGCTAATCTATCTTGGACTATTTTCTTTGATAGAGATGGATTCGTTGGATCATGTTCAGAAAAAAAGAAAAAGCACGCCACGAAAGAGAGTGGACAACGGTCAAGGACTTTGAGAAGTACACTGGCCTGCCTGCTCTGTGTTCTTCCTGCAGTTCACGACCTGGAAAGACAGCCTACCTAACCGTTCGAGGTCATTTTTTTAGAAAGCACTGCTGTGTGCTTGTGATCAAACAGAGGATACCCTTTCGAGATACAGCCACAGCAGCAGCAGTCGAAGGGGGATGTGGGTTGAAGTCTTTTTCTGCAGTGAATGGAAGGAAAACAAGTCTTTTCCAGCAGTGAGTGGAAGAAAAACATGTTACAGACGAGTAGGCTTGCGTTGATTGGCTTGACACATCAGTCAGTGAAGTTTTATCTTGTTGGGCCGAAAAAAAAAAAGAACGGATTTACATTTAGTAACGGGGTGGCTTGCCTGGTGGCGGGTGTGCTGGCTCCAAGCAAGCAAGGCAAGGAGCAGCGGCCGCGCGTGTGTTTGTATGGGTATGCCTTCAGTTTTGAAGGAACTAACGGAGCATTATAATAGCAAGCTCGCGATCCTCCTCCGGTGTCGCACGGGCGGAGTGCTGCTCCGACATTCCCGGGGTGTGCTTTAGCTTTTGTGTACTCTGGCTCGACACGACAGCCGTTCTTGTTGATGGGTGGACCGAAACCAGAATGGGTAGTCTGTCTGTGACATCATGTTTACTTTCTGACATCCACCAATCGTTTGATTCCCCACCCGCGTAAGTTGCTCGTCTAATCGTCTGGCGGGCAGTCGATGCGGCCGTGCAAGTTTGGCGCCACCGCCCGTTATCTGGCTCGCCTTGCATACTCGATATGTGGCCGCATGATGGCACACAGCTGAAAAACAACGCTTGCGGGATCTTGCAGGTGGAAGCGGAGGGAAAGCTGTACTCGGTTCCTGAGGGCGTGGAGATGCTCACCCCGCCTCCACAGAGCGAGTTGGACCAGTGGTGGAAGGTACGTTGCGGTACTATTTTTTTTGCTGGTTATGTCGTTTAGGTGTGCCAAGCCATGTACGTGGTGGGAGTATAGATTCCTTTGGATTACTTTGCTGTGTAGGTAACACAAGGTGTTTGTCACACCATCACCAGGGGTGGATATTCGAAGCCCGATCACTCCACGACGAAGAGAATATATCAACCAAACGACAGCTCTTGTCGGAGGATACTTGTATATATGACAGCTCTCTACAAAATGGTTCCAACTCCACCGTCATCGGCACCGCCACGCTTTCCGCTGTGGGATGATCGAGGTTTGAAAATCGGTCCGGTAGGTTGTTTGTGGTATCTCCCGTCGCCTACGGTACACGCCGAGTATCGGCGAACGTGCGTCTTGTTCACGGCCATAGTAGGCTATGCGTTCAATGCAGGGGATTCAAAAGCTTCCCTTGCGAAGAATGCCACGGTTATTGTTATTGATTCGGGGTGCGTGATTTTGCTAGTTGCATCGGTCACTGCTGGTGCCGTGCAAGACAAGTTTCACCTGTCGCTTCTTCGAAACAAACGACGTTTCGTCCGGTCGTTTATTCGGCAAGTACTGCAGCGCGGCAAGGCGTCAATTATTTTCTTGTGTGAAAGGGGTGGCTCATCTCTGGAAATAGACAGGGTCAAGGGGTCTGAAGCACCGCATACGACACAAGATAACAACCCCCTTGGACCGATTTTCAAGCTTGATTCCGCCACGACGAAGAGGATGCATAAACGAAACGGCAATTTTTTTTCGGAAAACTCTCGACGAGACGGGTTCAACGCCGCCCTTGTCGGCGCTGTGACTTTCTGCTGTTGAGAAATCGAGCTTTGAAAAATTGGTCCAGGGGGTGTGCTGTCGTGTATCATATACGGTAGCTTCGCTTTTCTCGACAAGGCGATGAGAGCATCTAAAACACCACCACTATCTGTCTCATTTGATTACCCCGCCCCCGGGAGACCAACCACCCGGACCGCAAACGCACAACAACTGGCCTTAGCACCGCATCTGGCTGTTTTATTGGCTTCTTTGGCAGGAGTTCTTTCGGAAGTTCAGGGAGTTCTGTTCCGGCGGAGCAAACAAAGCGAAGGTCGTTGGTTCGGATTCGGCACGACCATCAAGGGACGCTGTGGGAGACCAGGGGAACAGCAGCCAAAGGTACAAAGTGTACACCCGCGACATTTTTGTTTGTGTGAGTATTTATCCAAGTATTAGATCCTGTCCTGGCCAGCTCTAGTTCTTGTGTACACAGAGGGAAGAGACGTGTACACAGAGGAAGGAACGGCTGCAATCTTCTCGCATTAGGAATCGAAGGCAAAGCACCGCAGGATGGGTGGGTAGGGGACCTCAGGGAGAGGAGTCCTTCTGTTTGACCGCGGGTTGTAAGCGGCACTAACGCTGTGAACGCTGATTTGAAGTGGCGACAAACGAGAAAAAACAGCAAATATATGAAACCTACACCGCAACGTTGTTCAGGTGCATGCACTACTGTATGCATATATCCAGCGAAGGTGCAAAGTCTTGTTCTTGTACATTTCAAGTAGAGGGACACTGCGAAGTCTGTTTTAGGTATGTATCCAAAAGCACGAGAGCCCGTCCGCCCGTTCGTGCGGTCCATCAGAGCTCGAATCGAAAGCGCACGCAGCAAGCACTCCTGTATAGAAAGTGAAAGATGTCTTCATCTCCCCCCCCCCCCCCCCCC